AAGGGTGGCTCGATAGGGTTTTTTGAGGATCAACGCCTTCCAAGTTTGAGCACAAACTACGTCGCCATTCAGACAAATCGGCTATTGGAGAAAAACGTTCCCGTGAGCGATCTTGGAAGAACAGTTCCCAGTGCCGAGATATACGGTTGCAAGTAAAATAGGTAATGGCGTCATTTCGTTGCTATGACAACTCGGTTGTCGTTGCAACCCTGACCATAACAAATCTTTTTCTTGCCGGGCGCTGTGGTCGTAATTTTTCCAAATGTTTGTTAATGGCGACGTAGTTTATGCTCAAACTTGGAAGGTATTAACCCTGAAAAATCGTATCGAGCCACGTTAATTTAATCTTTTCAACCTTGCATTTTATTTAATTTTCGATGTAAGAAAAGGGAAATTAGGAGGAATATAAACCACATTCTGTTCGTCTGCTTCTGACGTGACAACGATTGGATTTTAATTTTAAAGTTCCATATATACAATATATACACAAGATATTCTTAGTTTCATGTAAACATTTTAACTCGTCAGGGGCACCAAGCGACTTTTTTCTGTAAAATAACTGTTCGAAGGAGCAAATATTGCCTAAATTTTTTTCTTTCTGGATAACCGTTCCATTCGTCTAAAATATTCGGACATTTTCTGAAAGCTTAACTACGATTTTCGGAGGTTGTGTTAGTCACATTTTAATGCCAAGATATTGCGATTGTTGTTAAAAAAAGGTCTCCTAAAACGTTCGGTGTAAAGACAGAACGTCCCCTAAAATTTTCTAATGAAAGCAAAGCTACTTCATGTCCTCGTACTTTCGACCGGACCCATAAGGGTAGCTTACACTTTCGGATGAGACGAAAAAGCCACCTAAAACGTTCATGACGACCAAAGTTCGCCTAAGACATCCGAACAGATAAATAGTTTTTAGGGCAACTCTAAATTACCCAAACAGATTTCTAAAGCACAGAGAAAACCATTTGAGACACTCCTGGCGTACTTGGAAACATTCGTTCGTTGGGTGCTCCTGACTTGTTATATATATTTTAGATAATTACATTATCAAACAACCAAAGCATTGCTGAATGCATTTCTTTATAAATATGATCCTTTACCCACTTTACTATTGAGCTATTTAACAATCATGTTTGTCATTTCCTTTAACTCCTTTTCCAGTTGGTTGAAATAAAAACTGAAAAATCAATTTTAAGCCTAATAAAAGACTGATATCAAACCGTGCAATCAGTACCAACCAATCATCATTTGATTACTTGGGGCCTCTTCATACATTAAAGCCCGATTTTCCGAGATCGTGCCTTGACCTGTTTCCTTTGTTAAAAAAATTCCATAATAGAAGGTGGGCTAGCCAACATGCTCTTTCTAGCTACAAGACACATCCGCCGACCAGCTTAAGAAATTCGTAGTTTGACTGGCTAAAGAAATACAGACTGGGCCCGTTGTAGCTCGGTTGACAGGGACATATGAAGAGACCCTGTTAGCAATAATACTGAATTTCATTTCATTATTTTTAGTTTTTACTCACTGCCAAAATTAGAGTGTAAAATAGCCTCTTTGGTTCGCGAAATAGAAAAATGTATTGGAAATAGAAAATTATAACTCAACACTTAAGTAGCCAAGACTCGTAACTATATGTTCAAAAAAAAAAAAGACTAAATAAATAGTGCGGTATGTTATTATGTCATAGAGTAACATAGCAAGATAGATTGTCATATTTTACACAATTTGTATTTTTTTAGGAGACTGGTGCTCCTAATTGTGGTTACAATGTTTATACAATCTAATAGCAATAAAAAAAATGTACACTTTCAAGCCTAACCAAGTGTTTTTTCATCTTTGTTTCTTGATACCTTGTGCCATTTTACGGCGATAAAGAGACAAATGATACTGAAACCTTGCAGTGTATCGGCTTTTTCCAAGCGTAGTATTAAGTCTCTTTTAGCTTTCGTCGTCTCAACGAAAACCCAAAGGTACAATCAGAAGTCCATAAACAGGGATTAAGATCAAGTCGTAAACTTGGTTTTGGCTTTGCACAGATTGTTTCCAAGCACAAACCGTTCCAGTTTGATTTAATCCGCATACAGGAAACTATTTCAATTGACGTAACTCGTTTCAGTTCTCCTTATGGGCAGTCACATCTAAGCGATTGTCAAAATAGAAATTTACAACCTTGTAATTCTAGTTCACCTCATACCGCAGGTGTAGCCCTCGCCTTGGCTCAAGTCTTGAATTACAGCCTGTTTGAATTGGCATCGAGGCATAGGTGATTCCCTTGAATGAACTCAAGTTTCTGAGGCAAAAAGACAAAGATAATTCTGATCATCAGCCTGTTATAGATCTGGATCTATCTTCATGTGGAAGCTGTCTCTTGAGGATTGCCTTGGGGGGTCTTCGAGCTTTTGCCACCTTTTAAGAACTGGCGATCCCTGGGATGTGCGGAACTGACTACGGCGAAGTGACGGGGATCGTCTCAATGAAGCAACTAGGGAGGAGGCAGACCCTGTGCTGCTACTTTTGAATCCCGGAAGAGATAAGAGAGGGGAATCTGTAGGGATGCCATTTGGAACTTTTGGCAGGCGACGAGGCTTGTAAACAGGCTTCTTTGAAGCATCCAAAAGCCAATAAGTCGGCACGTTTCCTTTTCCCTAGTAAACAATAACAAGGATTCAAAAACCAAATAAGAGCAAAGCTTTCTACATGGTAGGCAACATTCAAATCAAGTGAAATCCCCACAAAAATGATAGGTCTATCTCCTAATCTCCATTCTGCGTTATCCACTTAAAGTGGAACCGCCAGCTGCAAGAGAGTGTTTTCACTTCAAAGTTTCCAACATTCTGACGTCTTTTCTATGGTCGATTAAGGAACAGACAATGGAAAATCGTTGTTGATTTGTTCTTTACAAAAACACTAACAGTTTTTGACGTTCATTTTTGTTGAAGTTTCTTGGAAAATCGCGCGCGGTAGAAAAGGAAAAAATTGTGCCCCCATCAAGTCATTTCCAACGGGTCTTTACCATCATCCACCAATCAGCGGGCGAGAAATCACGCAGTTGTTGTAAAAATTACCTGCACTAGACTAGACTAGTAACGTGCAGTTACTAAACTTACCTTAAGATAAACCTCGCCTCTGCTCTCAACAACAAAGCCTCCTATGGCTTCCAGTATTCTCTTCGTAACTTCGCTTATGTGGATTCTTAAAGCTAAAAGTTAATTGGCAAAGAAAAAGGTAATAACCAACTAGAAATAAGTTAAATTCTGTGCCGTATAAAAGAAAAAAGGCTCTATTGGCTTGCAAACAGATAACGCACGCAGGAGCCGACCTGACGCACGACATTACTCTATCTCAGTCCCCTTCATTGTGGGTTTGCTATTCTGACAGACAAGGACACAAATTCAGTGACTATTTCTTACGAGAAACGAGCAAATCGCTGGCAAATTCCCTTTGTTTTACTGTCAGTAATAATGATTGTTATTATTATACATTTTAATTTTTATTAACGTGATTAATAAGAAGAACAGCAATACAAGAAGAAATCATCATCATCATCATCGTCATTATTGCTATCTTATAGCTGCTGATGATGTTTTGAAAAGTAGTACAAGATGAAAGAAGGTTAGAGGAAGAAAGCCTAATTGAACTCCAACCTTCCCCATTCGATTCCATTCTTGACGCAGTGTTCACAGTATCACCAAAAAGGCAGTACCGGGGCATCGTTATACCAACCACACCGGCTACAACAGGACCTAGGAGGAAAAAAATCATTAAATTGGTAATCAGTAGACCTCGAATAGAATAGTCATAGAATAGAATAGTCATGGAATTGATTGTTCATAGGAAATTAACAAAAAAGAACGAATAAGGTTTTCTGGATCACTTTTAAAAACTCGCTTCCTTTTTGGTGATTTTTTTTTTTCATACTTTCATTTACAACTGCCTAAGTTGCGTGTAAAACTGAAATTATCTTTCGTGTTTTATTGCCACTTTCGTGCATTTATTATCGATATTATATATTATTATTATTATCATTATTATTTTTATTATTATCATTACTGATTTGTCAGCTGGAAAAACAGTAATGAATTCATAACATTTTTCAGTAAAAGGCACCGTTCTTCAGTAATGCTTTGACACTTTTTTTGCTCCTACATTTTTATTGCCAAAAGGTTTGGTGATATCTTAGGTGAAATGATGCTTAATATCACCTGATTAATAAGACCAAAAATTCTAATTTTTAAGGATATAATTACAGTGCAGCCTCATATTAAAATTATTAGACGGTGGTATATAAAAAATGTATGTAATAAACTGACTTATGATGTACATTATTACAGACAACGAAGAATTACCACTGTGTATTCCAACGCGTAGCTTGAGTTTGTAGTCACTTTTGTGTCGAACTGTAAAGTCTTTCTTCACAGCGTCGACCAGATGTAACGCCATGCGCGCTATCTCTCCTGCGTGATTGTGCCCATTTCTGATTGGTAGACCTGATACCACCATGTATGCGTCACCAATTGTCTCCACCTGCCGGGCAGAAGGAGCGCACTAGAGTACAAGCAAACAACGGCACGAAATTGGAGGTTGAACGAGCCCTATGTTTAACGTTTATCGCGAAGTTTATGCTTTTTTGCGATGTTTGAATATAATAAAATTAAAATATAAAAAAATATGGACATTGAAGTCAATTTTGTCACAAGGACTAGCATTGGATTGGTGTTTTATTATTTTGAAGAAATTTTGCATTTAGATTCGCGCTATAATTTAGGTATGACTAGCAGGCTTTGCTCATCAGTTTCTACATCCAGAATCCCTCCCTCCATTACAAAAAAAACAGCCCATTTTATTGTGACATTGCAAAAATAAGTAGCATTATACCGTTAAGCAGCGAAAAAAAAAAACAAACAAGCTGCGTTTAAAATTGATCGTAGCAGTCGCTTTGTGGATTAGATGTTTACGTTGTCATTTAAAACAAAATTACAATTTAAAGTCGATATGATGTGTCCTTACCCCTGAGTTTTAATTTGTGTTTAACAATTCAAATTAATGCCAAACATTTTCATCAATTACAAGTCGAAAATTTAACCGACACATTTTATAATACTAATACACAGTATTACTTATATAAAAACGATTTGTAGGGTTGAACAACATTTTATAAGTAATAAAATTTCTCACAGCTATTTACAATTTAAAATGAACAATAATATTGTATTCTTTAATCAGAGCTACAGAATACGCTAACTAAAAACAATTGTATTTTTCAGTTTTAATGGGATAAGATGTTGAGTAATTAATTTGCCTATAGCAGCCAAAACTCAGCATTAACTTCTGCCCAAATTATTACAGTTATTAAACCATGCAGCTTGCGTTATCAAGCATCATGCTTTAAGCTTTAGTTCTGTCCAACCTCCTTAACATAAAGCAATAAATAAAACGTGATACTGGGAAAACAATTCGTTTGGTCCAGAAATGACCATGCTACCTTTCATTTGGACGCATGAACCTACCTGTCAAGTTTCGTTGTGTGAAGTTTCAGTTTAACCAGAGATGGCGTCGAAAACGCGCAAAAATATAGGAAGACCGAACCCAAACATGGTTGCGGCGGGTGCTCTATGAAAACTTTATGAACGTGGCTTTATATTACCAGTTGAAAGACTGGTTGATTGATCATTCATCTTGACATAAACTCCGTCAAAGATAATGAAAAAAATTAGAGTCTTGCGTACAATATCATTTGTCTCTGCATGTAAGGTCCTTCTTATCTCAAGCTGACGTCCTTTCCTATTCTCCACTTTATTCTGTGTTAAAGCGGTAGTAGTGGTTCCTTGCAACCAATAAAAAGTTCAGAGAGGAAAAGGAAAAACTGTTTACCATTATTTTATCAATAAGACAATAATTCATAAATCTTACCTTGTATACATCGTATTCACTTATTATATCGTCAAATAAGGTGTATAAGTCATTTAGTAGAGTCACAACCTGTAGACATTGTTAAGAAAATGAAATGTTCCGTTGATGTGTTAAAAATACTTGTTTTGCATGTGCTAAGGGTTTCCTCGAAACATACCGTGGCCACCAAAATAAAACAAACGATCAGCGAGAACGACAAAGAAATAACTAGTAGAAATATTAAAAATGGCAGTAAGTAAGATAAACACGACGGAAGTGATAATGATGATGACAGACAATGAGAACTAAGGCGATTGGGAGGATAAGGATTAAGGCAGGAGAACGAAAAGCGAGGATAATGATGATGATGATGACGATGATGATGATGATGATGATGATGACGATGACGATGATGATGGGAAAAAAGATGATGGTGATGATGATAACGATGATGAGGATGATGATGATGATGATAAGGATGACGACGATGATGATGATGATGATGACGACGATGATGGTGATGATGATGATGATAAGGATGACGACGATGATGATGATGATGATAATGATGATGAGGATGAGGATGAGGATGACGACGGGGATGATATAGAAGCGGGATGGAGAGAAAGTGCAAAGGGAGGAGGACAATGGTAACAAAGACTACGTGACCAAGATTTTCATCGCCTACTACTTGGAAACTTAACGACGTAAGTAGACTCCATAAGTTAAATGGCTCGATACAGGCGTAATATACTCACTTGAAGGGGAGTACTCTCTGCCGAGAGTTCGGTAAAACCCACAATATCACTGAAATAAATTGAAACTTCATGGAAACTCTCCGCTTCAACTGTTTTGCCTCTCTTGAGCTGTTCTGCCACCGGTCTGGTAGAAAAGTTTAAAATAACGACGATCAACAACGTTAACAAAAACGTACTAATTCGTATCAAACATTAACCTTTCAAGGCGCCCCTAGTGTTATTGGGATGGCTCTTCGGCTTTTAATGCTTACAATTACTAGACCAATCAGGTCAATAACTAGATTTTAAGACAATCGACTGACGTGATACAAGTCCCTTTAACTCTAAAGATGACTACCGCACAGGTTATCGAAACGTCAGTCACTGTAAACAACAGTCCAATTCAGGACTACGGTGATCACCAGGACGTTCATACTCCACCTACTTATGAAATGACTCCAGGTTCAAACCTTCCACGTTTAAAAATTAAGTAAGACGAACGCTTGCCGGCTTAGCAGGCAGTTTTTTGGTGTGTTTTTCGTGTTTCGTAAAATAAGAGGTCAAAAGAGAAAAAAAGAAGACAGATTAGTTCACTCTGCCTTCGTTTGAGCTCTGTTTGGCCTTCGTGCGGCTTTGCATCTCACTTTACGAACCACAGACAAAAAACACACCAAAAAATCGTCTCCAACGCAGGCTGGATGAACGCACCTTGGGAGCATCCTTTCCAAAAGAGCGTCTGTCTTTTTCTTCTCCTCAATTAACTGTCCAGTTCTTTCGATCACGAGCTCCTCCAAGTTATCCGCATACTTCTCCATCATGTACACCACATTGTCAAAAATGTTTGTCTTCCTTTAAGGAAAAACCGAAACGAAGAAGGTAATCGCCTCTTGTGCGCGAATGAATCACTCTTTCTTACAGTTCGGATGCGCGAAGTCTCTTTGACTTTTCCTACTCAGTTGGGTGTAAAGTCTCGTTTGGTGACAATTGTTTATTGAGTGCAAAAAGAAATAACAGAAACGAAAGAAATGTCTGTGATGTCATTAACAGGAAGCTAACAAGGTTGGTTTAAGAAGCGTTCTTTAAATTACGGGTAACAGTAAGAGTAACAGTAGCGTCGTTTTTTACTTATAAATCATCTGAAGCGCATTTTTCCTTTTGATTGTTATGTAAATGTGAATGTTGTTCACAGTAAATGTTCTCTATTAGATAAAAATAATGCTTAATGACAATATTTGTAATAAATCATATTACTAAAACGAAGAACGGGGAACGGAACTGATGTGCACGGGAACGTAAAAAGTGGAAAGTGGAAAATGGGAAAAACGAGAAAGTGGAAATTGGGAAAAAATAGCTGATACCCTAACCTTATCAGTAACTTCCTTCACATTCTTTCTTTTGTCCCAATGTTTTCATTACCCGTTCCCTGTCCTCGGTTCCTGGGGTCGTTCTCCGTTCCCTGTTCCTCAATCCTCGTTTTAGTAACATCATTCCGTCTACACTTTATAACGGTAACTTACATTCCGTTGTTGGTTAAGATCTTGTTCATGATCTTTTTGATCTCGTGGAAGTCCGGCCGTAAATCTGGGCTCTCCTCCCAACACTGTTTCATTAGTTCACGCAGCTCTTCAACTCCAGTTATCAGCTCTGATACCGTTGGACGGAAAGGCGGAAATTCTCCATTCTGTACCTTGTCCACGATTTCTATAAGGTGTAATAGCAGTAGGAATGGATTAGCCTTTGTTTACCCAAATCAATGCTCTCTGTAGTCTGCGTCGGAAACGTAATCTAACTCTGACTAGTAACGTTTGTGTGAAGCCGTAGTCTGTGCAAGGATCTCAGATAGTAGTAGTAAGGTCGCGAAAACAAGGTTAAGGGAAAAATAAGACGAGCACGACCTCTGCACATTGGTATCTTGGAGCCTGGAACAGGCTAACGAAACCACGGCGCCGAGATCCTTGTTCTGAGCCCCCAGCGGACTCGAATAGACCAATCGAGCAGTGGCTTTTATACAAGCCCAATCATGGCGCTTATTCAAGTCCTGGTACACAGCCTGAGGCCCAGAACAAGGATCTCGAAGCTGGCTCCCAGACGGACTTAACCAGAGGTTTCGTCTGAGGCGCAGGTTAGGCTCAGAATCCCAACTGTAGTACCCAGTTTCTTCTATTAACCATTAATTTTCCCTGCAAAAACATGTCTCGTTTCAGTTCTTATTAAAAAAAGATCTAATATACCACAAAAACTTCCCAACTGCTATCTTTGTTCTTTTGTATTGTTATTGCAATTACAGGGATGGACACGGGGTAATGTAGACTCCAGTGTTCTTTCATTTCACAACAAACGTTGTCCACCTTCTCGCCACCCAGATGCATCAATCGGTAATCGTGAACTGGATTTTTGTAATTAGAACTTTAAAGTTCAAGATCGGTGTAGCACTTTGTAAAAACACAGAAATTGTTTAAAATGTAAAAGCCAAATTGTTGTTTTCAATGTCTCAACGCTTCGGCCCTTTTGTTGTAGCTGCGACGTCGTGTTGCGAATTAAAACCAAAGGGAACACGCCCGTGCTCACGACTGTTAAAGGAAATGAAAGTCGCTGTTATGATCACGCGGCTGATAGGTCCCACCTTCATAAATAAGGCGCAACTCCTACCTTTTCATTTTCTCGTTAATGCGGCGGAGCTTAAATCCACGCAACTCAACATCATTGATAGACTTGCTTAGAATTGGGGAAAACTCTGGAGCACTTAATATCTCAGAACCCATTTACCTCGGTGCTATAGAACTCAACGACTGAAAGCACCTTAAACTTTCAACCATCACGTAAAAAACCGATTTTTCGTTTATGGGTAACACAAAATAAACGTAATTTACAAGACAAGAACCACAACAACTAATCTATAAGGAAATTTACTGATACCTTTCGGGTCCATATAACTTGAGCTGTAGGGTCCTTCGCGGGTGTGAAATTCTTGTAGGATGATAGCAAAGCTGTAAACGTCACCCTTTTGGGTCCCTCTGATTGGTCGATTTGGGAGTCGAAGAATCTCTGGCGCTACCCATAGAAGATCTAAAACAGGATGAAAAATAAATATGAGAAAATTAATAATAGTCGAGGATAGATAGGGATATTCAGCAAACTAACTTGTGAAAGCGTGCTCCGGAAATGGAATTCAAAAACGTTTGTAGAAGTTGACCAAGGTTCGTTGACTTTGGCGGAGGAGCATTTAAATGAAGGCGATAATATGACATCGCTGACCATGATTGAAATCTGGAGTAATCATGAAATTGATGATGACGATGATGATGATCGTAACATTACAATAAAAGTTACTTTTTAGAAATTGCATGGCCTATTGTTTTGCGAAGCATTTGCAAAGTTAACAGGAAGATTTGATCTCGAACCTTCGTGTCTTTCATGCACTACTCAATGTCATTCGTGATTGCGATCTAATACTTCACATTTACCTCTGTAATACGCATGCTCAGATGGGTAAATTTTCGCTTGTTTGTCCCTAAAAGTTGGGAGTCCGTAATCAGCAATCTTAAGTACCCAGCGGTTATCCACCATGCAGTTGGAAGATTTGAGGTCTCCATGTGACTTGATGTCAGTGCTCTGGAGATAAGACATACCCTGCAAACAAAAAAGGCCGGGTGAATAAACTCTTTAACTTTTGTTATTTCACTTGAAACTCAGAAAAGCATGAACACCAGAAATATGATCGTCGATCTTTTGATTGGTCATAACACAATAAACAATCCTGAAATATTTAGGAGGGATGTTACTAAAACGGGGAACGGGGAGCGGGGAGCGGGGAGCGGGGAGCGGGGAACGGGGACCGGAAGTCTGGGAACGAGTTGTCAGCGGAAACCTCCATAAAAATCCAATATGGCCGATGATCGATGATAGAGAACCGTCGAAACAAACTTAACCAATAACGGCGTTACTTTACTTGAACTATATGCTCATGAGGTGCTTGAAATAATACGAAGGTAATAACTTCATGACGTTTTTCACCTTTTTGCGTTTTACTAAACAATTATCCGTAGGAAACTAAATGTGCTCCAACAGCAGTTGAAAAAAGCCAATCGGGACAAAAACTCTCAAAGCACATGTACAGCCATATTTGGAACTCAAGCGAATCTATACTGAGTCTAGCCCACAAAGCAATTAACTACTTTTCCATGATAGATAACATACATCGAAGTAGTCAAGTAGCTTGTGTGCAAACTTCTTCTATTTCCTTTGATAGAGATGACTGCTTTGAAAAATGTTATTGACCACGTCATCACATAATTAGTAAGACTACTTTAACAATCTGGTTCTGCTTTTAATATTATTAGATCTACTACACTGCAAGCATTCATGATATTGAAGTGTTTCACTGATCCATGAAAATAAAATAATATCATTTCATTATTTTGTGAAACAATTTGTTTCAGGTCAGTTTGCCCAGTTTAGACCAGTATAATGACCCTAATGGAACCTAATTCACTCATTTTCCTCACCCTAATCAGTAACTGCTTCAAAGTCGTACAGTGGCCATTTGTCTTTCTGCGAAATACCCCTGACGACCCTTTCCTGAATCAAAACCATTGGATGGCATTGAATGCAACATTCTCACTCACTGCAGATCCTCAATTAACCCCCCGCCCCCCTAAGAATGAGATCCCAAACCCCTCCCTTTTGAAGAAAAATGTCGTAAAATAATCAAAGTACCTCTTCATGGGCACGAAACGTTTGGTGCAATTCATACCATACAATATCGCTGTATCAAGTACTGTTCTCGGTGCAGGAGGAGGGGGTACTATAATGGCCTAAACAGAGCCTGAAGCCTTTTTCAGGCTTCAGGTACATGAAAGGGAAGGGGTTTTTATAGTTGAAGTATATGAAAGGGACCAAAATGAGATCAGTCACAGATGCATTTTATGGATGTGAGAGACAAGAAAACCTGTTTTTCTAAAGATGGTGTATCTACAGCAGTTAAAAAGGGATGCAGCGTTCAAAATTAGGTATGTGAAAGGGGTACCATTTGTCACAAGAGGGTATACAAAACGGGTACCTTTTCTGTCTAAAATGGTACATACAAAGGGTAAAGGGTTGGTCCCTGGGGCAGAGCCTCTTTGGTGAGTACTCACCCCCCCTCCTCTCTGGGTTACTGTTACTCTAGTCTGATTCTTCTCTTTAATTTCTTTGATACTGTGCTTCATTAAATGAATTAAAATTCATTTAAAAGCTTCTTGCCCCTTTTTTGAAAACCCCAATATGTTAAAAGAAATTATGTCCCCTGGAGGGGAAATAAAATCAGGGAAAATGGGTAGCATGATCTATTGTGTTATTTTACATACATTGAGTAAGCGTAATGTGGAAACTATACACATACAGTTGCGCGTTTTTACTGAAAAACATATCGGCACTCCAATCTTTTGCGTCCCATCACTTGTGTGAGACCTTAGACTCTTTATTTCCAAAACTACAGACAGCTTGTTTGAAGGCTTATCAACCACCTTCTAATAAGCTGCCAGCCTCTGCAACATTGATGATGTGATGCTTGACGGTAGGTGCACTGCAATATTACTGAATCAAGCTAATAAAGCAGCTTGACAATATTAACTGGTTTAAGTCACTGACACATTCAGTTTTACACTGAGCTTGAAATATTTTTCTCCACAGTAAAAATAATGTTCATTAAAGAGAAGCAGAGCTCCCCTCTGCAAAAACATTAAAGGAGTGCCCCTAGAAAAAAAAAGCATCCAGAGGGCTAAACAGAGGAAGTATACTTACCATGCATATTTTAACAGCTAGCCTTTAGAAAGTACCTTCCAACCAAAGACTTCAAAGTACTTCCCCCACGTATACTTGCAACACTTAATATTGCAGCTCAGTTGTGGTTCACTTTTATCCTAAGTTTGAATTTTATTCTCTTTGTTTTGAACTCATAATCATAAAATTCATATTACCGTACCCCCAAACAAAGGGAAGCAAAATTTAAACCTAGGTTATAATTAAATAAAACCACAGCATAGCCATTTGCTTTGAAACAACTGATATCTTTAAGACCAAGGTATGATTGATGTTCCTGGCACATTGCCCGTTAATATGTTTAAAGTTGCCTTTTATTGATGTATTAAATAACCTGATCCATCTTATCTTTTCAAATAATTCAATTGCACTTACTTCTCATCATAGGATTGTAAATATAATATTATTAGACTTACAGTTTTATCTCATCGCCAACATGTTTTAATTTGGGCTTGAAAAAACGCTACCGCTAAGAAGGAGCTCCACTGCTACACTATTACTGTCGAGGAAATACACCTGGCTGCTTCGATCTACGTTATCTTTCAGCATGTATTTAAGCCAAAACCCTACGAAAAGTGTCAAGCAAAAGTAGTTCATTGCTTTGTGAGTTAGACCCAGTATAGATTCGCTTGAGTTCCAAATATGGCTGTGCTTTGAGGGTTTTTGTCCCGACTGTAGCTTCTTTCAACTGCTGTTGGAGCATATTTTGTTGTTTAGTAAAACGCAAAAAGGTGAAAAATGTCATGACATTATTACCTCCGTATTATTTCAAGCACCTCATGAGCATATAGTTCATTAGTAAAATAGCGACCTTAAGTGTTGTTTCGACGCTTCTCTATCATCGATCTTACCGGGTCGTTGATCCTTACCGGCCATTTTGGATTTTTATGGAGGTTTCCGCTGACAACTCGTTCCCAGACTTCCGTTCCCCGTTCCCCGCTCCCCGCTCCCCGTTCCCCGTTTTAGTAACATCCATTTAGGAGTTGACGATTTTCTGAGTTTGACAGTAACAAATAGGAACGTTTTCTCAGAGAAAAAAATAGCTTCTCTCGGCTAATGTAACGGCAAGAAAAAAATTAGGCTTCCAGCCTTCCAAAGTTGTGAATGTATTGGGCTCGCCTGTAATGGGAAGTTACGGGTTTCTCGATACGGCAACATATCACATCACTTACAGAGCCTATACGTGATTAGTTTACTTTTCAGGTAGCAACACTCGAACTGTTATATTCTCATGAGTCAAAGTCATTCCAAAATGAGTCCTAGAACGTAGATTTCGAACCCGTTAACGGTTGCAGACGGATAAGAAATATAAATGAGAGATATTGTAGTCATACGCATATCTCCCTTTTATAGTTAAAACGTTTACAACCTACCTTTACTATATCCGACACAAGAGACGCAATAAACATGTGATCCAACTTAACATCATCGTTTTCTAAGATATCCTGCAAATCATAAAATCAGCAGTTACCTCAAACACGATTTAGACCTTTATATTATATTAAGTGGTAGAAAGTATCATCACACATCACTCAGTTCCTCACCTGAAGACTTCTTCCTTTGGAGCAGTATTGTGAAACAATGCAAATGTTAGGAGAGTCAACACAGGCGCCAATAAATGGATTCAGATTATCATGCCTAATGTCCCGCATCTAAAAAGGGACACACACACACAAAGAAAAGCATTTATTGGTCTGAAAAGCATAAGGACAATATATGAGAATCAAAAAGTTTACTGCCTTAAAGGAGCCGTGTCACGAAATTCAGCCAAATTACGGAAATTACAAAATACCCGTTAAATTAAGAGAAACATAAAAATAACCGCTTAAAACTTTAAAGGAAGGTTGAAATAACATAACAGAAACAACAGATGCCAGGGATGGGCAAAACTGAAGAAGACTGAAACGGGTTGAAATTAGGGTTTTTGAAAACTGTTCAGCTTAACAGGTTTTCAAAGTTGATTCCCTGCTGCTTGCAACTTCAAAAATAATGCTCAGGAGACGTATTTGTTTGTCTCGGATCTCTGATTTTGTCATTTACCTGTAATTTGTTTGCTTACTTTAAGTTCCATACCGATTGAGGGCGAGTAATTGACAAAATTAAACAAAATGAACTGGACTGCCGTGACACAGCCCCTTTAAGAGAACACCAAATGTTTTTATTGCAGGGTTTGGCCTGAAACATTTAGCTTAGACAACAAAGGTAAGCTGCATTCCAACATAGAAGGAATGATTGTACGTTTCCGAGAAACTGCTCACTCACCCCTCCCCTAGGGCCAACATTAACATTTACTTAGGGGTATAGTTGGCAGACGAGGACGAAAAATCGATCCAATTATTTTCTGAAGCGCATCCCACTGTAGCATCTTCTAATCTCCCTAATCTTTATCTTCTTTAAAACTAAGATGGGTAGTGAAAAGTGCTTAACGCTCGCGAAATCGCCTTCCCCCCAGTTATCCTCCGGCATCCCCTCATCACAGAAAATGGAAATAAAGGCTGAGTACGATTTGTAGAACCACTAACATAGATATTGAGATTTAAGCCGACTAAAGCGTGCTCTCAAAGTACTTACATCTGTTCAAAATTCGAGTTAAAAAGGGTTCAAATTTCAAAGCCTTTGCTGTTACTTCATTTGAGATGCCCAGAATGAATAGAGTTAATAAAAGATTCATGTAAATTCTACTCTGTAAGGCGTAATTCACATAGTTTTTATGATTGATTACCTGTTTGAGTTCCATCAACACAGTTCTTGTCAGGTCAACACTTTTCTTGGCCAAACGTTTAACCGCCACCAAATTTCCCTGCGCCAAAAAAGACAGGGGAAACTTACTTCTACAAAATTAAAGCCTTACTCGATGATTTCTATGAGTTAAATAAATTGGGTAAGTTAGAGACCCACCTGATTCTTGACCTGTGAGGAAAGCTTTCTTTTTAAATCAATGTGAGTTAAGATTTGAGTTTCGTCATAGTCAGTGAAATGGAATTCAATAATAAAGAATGACTAGTAAAAGCCAATTATATATGGTTCTAAAATAACCTTTACACTTGCCAAATAACATTTATTTTTTGAACAAAGATAAGTCCTTTTTATTCAATCTGCTTACTAACCGATGGTGGACAATGAACCTTATACTGGTAGGTTTACGCACGAATTGAATACGCGTACTAATTTTGGCAATTATTAGACCTGGTTCGATTTCATTTTGATGCACGTTGAACAGTGATTATAATCAAGAAAAGAATCAAGATAAAAACTTATACAATTACCTTGTAAACTGCAATAGCCGTGTAGTTATTGTAAAGCTCCCCATCGTCATCAAGAAGAGGCGCTAACATATCGGGATCAGGATCTTTTTGCTTCATGAAAAGTAAATAATGTTATAAGATGATATAATTAAACTTATGAACGAGTTGATTTTCAGAACATATATATATATATAAAAAGTCTGTGTGGTATTTTATTTATGAATTCACTAGCGAAACTTTTGTCCGTCTCCTTATGCTAAGGAAGCGTGCACCGCGAGAGTCTATCTGCTGACTAAGGGTTGTTTGGGGAAGGGTGGGGGCGCTACACAAAACAACACCCCTCCTTCCACCCGTGAGCCCAATAGACACAAATTTTTACCCTGAATTTTTAAGATAGACTATAATTATATTAAGTAATAGAGACGGGTTGCGAAAATGAAACACGATCTTTTTCACTGTGTAGATAAGAGGCACAGACTGATTATAATGAGACCACCGTGGTCAAGATAGCTTCTATCCGAGGAAGTACCCTTGTTCCGGTCGCATTTGTGGTCTTCCCTTGCGCAAATTTCGATTCTGTTTATTACGGCAGTTGTTACACAAACCAAGTTGTTACATGAACACAAACACTACTTCTGAACACTTCTGAACTAATTAATTCACCCAACATACAATAACGCCTGAGTTCCGAGGCTCTCTTAAAAAGGAATGAGCGAGCGCCTAGCAAGAGGTCATTATTTCCTAGATGACCAAGGAAACTAGACATTATCTGATTTAACTTAGCTTTTTCATTGCTTTAGATGTGAGGTCGATATTGTGGTCACTGAGGTGGAAGAGGAGCAACAAAACCACCTCTGGTCTCCTGCGCAAACAATAGCCTGTTTTTCCACTGGTTGAAAATTAAAAATAACGTTTTCAAAACAATGGAAAGGTGATATAAAACAGGATAATACTCCCTTAGATTGATACTTAACCTGTATTAGCAGACATAGTAATCAATCGGTTGAACGCTCGCTATCAATTTTTTCGCAATTTCTTACCAGGTTGCTTCCAAAGGAAGTAACGGAGTTTCTCTTCCTCTCAAAACTGAGCGCATTGTAGTCGATCTTCCACAGCAGACGTTTGAGTTCCCGCTCCAATCTGTACTGCCTACAAAAGGGAGCCGCACAGAAATCTCAAAATCTCTTTGTTTAGTGTTCAACCTATTATCTGTTTTTTTATATATATGTATATATGTAATTAGTAACTTTGCTTTGTTGTTCGCCAGTTCAACTTGAAAGAACTTTACATGTGGTATCCAAGGTCTTCCTTTTCCTTCTTGAAGATAACACGAGTCCCAGCGTCTGATTAAGGATCGGTTCACTGTAGAGCTGCAACAGAACGTCCTTCCTTACAATAAGATAGTATGTGCGAGAAGATGAAGTCAGAAAATGATTCTCGCGAAACGGTCACATGATACCTGCTCAAGGCGTGACTTAAAATGGCAAGGAATTATCTATAATTCCAAAATATAATTTAAAAAAATCCCTGATCTTGCACATTTAAGGCATTTGAGCTGCATCCTAGAATACTGCTCCTCAGGTGGGGACTTACCTGTAAATATTCAATAGCAGTAGAAGGGCCAACAGGCCCAGTGCACCAGATACACCAGCTATGATTTTAGTTTTTACATCTGCAGCGAAAAGGAAACACACACAAATTTCAGTTAACTTCCCCAAGGTTTTACTGGAACACTGTGCTTGCCTTTTCTCGGCAAGAACTAGAATGAAATTTTCCCTTTTAAATCTGCTGAAGGCATTCAGTTCAGCGGGAATACAGTCGAACCTCCACTAACAGCCACCTCTCTAAAACAGCCACTTTTTTGGCTCACAGTCCATACATTGACTCTTGTTTAAGGCCCTGTCCACACATATCCGGAATTTTGAATCCGTAACTTTTTCTGTCAGGATCAAAAAATTTCCACGTCCACACGTATCCGTAATCAAATCGAATTAACCCCCCACACGTATCCGAGACGTATCCGGATTAACTCTTGTACCCAGGACGCCTCTGGGAATATTGACAAGAGAGCATGCGTCGTAAAGAGCGCGAAATTTGCATCTTGCTTTGCCTTGAGAGAACCTGAGAACGATGTTTCCATCTTGAATACATTATTCATAGTAAAGAACTGGACTCGACCTTGTTACGTCACCGGATAAAAAAAAAATCGGGATTTAGCGTCCACTCGATTCCGGATTCATAGCGAATTCAAACATTTCCCGTTCTGGAGAGGGGATTCGTATGCCGGATGCACCGGATACGTGTGGACGGAAGCCGTATCCGGAAAGAAACAGTTGCCGATTCAAAAATAGGCTGATTTAGCAACAGGACGGGAACGTCATTTGACGACGGGAAAGCGCGCGGAAAGGAGTAAACTCGACTTCTGGTGCTCAATTTGCCGCTCTGCCATTGGTCAAGACAGTTGTTTGATTTGCGCGCGCCGTCGTCAACTGACGTTCCCGTTCTGTTGCTAAATCAGCCTAATATCCGGACACGTGTGAACTGGACTTTAACCTCTCTATAACGGCCACTTTTTTGTGACCCCAATATGGCCGTTGTGGGGAGCTTCAACTGTAAAACAAACTTGTTAATTAACGTTTTAAATTAGATGTCTCCTAATAAAAATCGTGAATGCCCAAACTTTGTTATGGGAATTTGTAGGTCTTATTTGCTTGTTCTGTGACTGAGTCCAGTTCTTATGTTTCAATTTTATCTGATACATTTCATTTTTTTTCGTTTTTGGTACCAGATGAGTTTGAAACAAAAAGAAAAACATAATTTAAACCAGGAATAAAATTTAAGCACGACGTAGATCAAGTTAATTCGAAAATGAAACAGACGTGACGTACTTTTGATTACTTTATATACGCTCTCGCCACATAGCTAACAAAAAAGTTACCTTCTCCTATTGGTTCTATACAAAGCTCTCCATGAAAACCACACTCAGGGGAGTCCCGTGGGGGTCCGGTTCGACCCCCGGGCCATTTGATAGTAACGCCTGGCCTTGGAACATAGACTTGTTCACCTTCCTTAGTTGCATTGTCAAACTTGATTTGAAAATCACCTACTGGAATCATCTCGTGGCTTGAGCTGTTTCCTACCAAACAACAAAAACAAACAACAGGCAATTTCATTGAACTGAATGAAGATTTTCAGTGTTCTCTCGTAAACGGTTGATAAACCGTCCATACTATGCAACACCTATTGGGTAAGGGCTATCGACACTAAAATTGGTACGCGCTCGCTGTACAATGAACGAAAAACTGCTCTGGGTCTCCGACTGACTTAAGGGTGCTTACCACATGTCAGAATTGGCCGCAGGACAGAACAGTCCAGTCGTAGAGCCAGATCAAAGCAGAGATGCGTTTTAAGCAAACATTTCTAGAGAATTAATATTTATTTCAAATCGATGCACGTCCTTGGTTAAGCCCTACGTGGCACAAAGAACTGAAAGAACACTTGCATACCTACTAGCTGCATGTCAAGCAAGGTCAGGTTAAACTCAGCATCACCATTGCTGTCAAAGTGAATTTTGTAACCAAGTATGCCTAAAAAACAAACAACTGAATGAGCGTTCAAACCATTAACCCTTTCAGTGCCAAGTGGGCCAAGGGCAAAATTCAACAAAAATCCACAAATTTCGTTTTGTAAAATTTTGGAAACAAATAGCACCATTTGTAAGTAGAGGCAGAGAGGTTTTATTTGAATGGTTACATCACAGGATTTTGTCCACAGACTCAAAAGTTAGAACTACCTCAGGGACTCCAACATTCACTCTGGCAGTGATAGGGTTAAAGAAATGTACTGGCGTTTTAGCAATGATCAAATGATTAAACTGAAACAGGTCCCTCTCAAAAAACAAAGGACCGCCAAATATTTTATATTCCTCAAAAACTCATTAACAATTCATAGAGAAAAAACAAGAGAAATAAATGTTTAATAAGTGTCTTTATATATCTGATAAAGACACGGCTAAACTTTACGTCCAGTTTTTTAGACCAACATAACCTTAAATCTAAGAATGAGTTGATATATATCAAAGATTTTAAAGTCGTTCAAACAATTCGCAGTCGTGTATTTAAACCTGATAAAACACTCCTGCTCGTTTTCTGCCCTTTAAATCCAAGTATAAACTATTTTGGCTTCTCCCACTTTTTTGTCCGTGTTAACATCGACATCAACGATACCTTTATTTTAATTATAGTTTTACATATATTAAGCTTCTCAATCTCAGGGTGAATGACAGGCGTCTTTTAAAATAGGTGGCTCTAACTTTTCAGGTATTGGGGCGAAATGCTATAGTGATAACATTCAAATGCCATGATTCTCTACAGCTGCATTTTCATATGAAACTTTTTCTTTTTCAGCCTTTAACAGAATGAGACTTCATCATACCAGTTTCTTTTTTTCCAAATTTCTACCTGTTTGCCTGGCGTTCTGAATCATGGTTCTGTCTAATCGCTCATTTGTTTATCAACAGCTGTTTGTGATACTCAGTTGCCGTATGGACCAACCGGAGTTTCAAGCTATCTGATAGCGGGAAGTAGGTTACAATCTACAATAATTCACTCAAAAGCTTCTGTTTGCTTTTAGTCCTAAATCTCACTTACTGTCATATTGAATATCTTGCATCTTTTTTGCAATGATTTCACCCGTTACAGTCTGATTCATCAGCATTGTTTTGTTCAGAGCAATCGCGTACTGGTATACAGCATCATATAGATATGCTCCAAACACAGGCGGCTGTAGGAAGGGGAAAAGCGTTAGTTAGTCTCGACTACTCTTAATTAAGGTACCTTAAGATTTGACGAAAAACGTTACTAAAAATCGTACTTCGCGTCGTTTCGAACTTTAGGGACTTTAAGATCCAACGACGCGACGGCAACGAGAACGTCAAAAAAACCAATAGGTTTAATTAGCAAAAAAAACAGCTTTGCACGTGCACCATGCTTTTTTGTACATTTCTCTGCCCGTTTTTGCATGACTACGACGTGAACATGCCTAATTTCGCGTTTTACGGAGGACGTAAACAAGCAACGACGAAATTTTATTTCTCTTACTGTACTTGGATATGGTGCCTAGGAATTCCGCTCCAGGAGGGTTCGCCTACATTTGACAAAGTAAGTGGGTAGGAATAATTGCGATATAGACTGAAAGAACGCAAATTCACTTTTTAGCGACGTTCTCATTACCGTCGCGTCGTTGGATCCAACTCGCTGGGTCTTTCTTTTTAAGTTGATAAATTATGCTGGAGCTGAAGAGAGAGGATCACGTCCGAGCTCAGAAAGATACATTAATATTTATTGCCTTGCCGTTCACGTACGTTCCAAAAGGACTTGAAATGGTATCATTTCACGCCACAGTAGTAGCAGGCAAAGAAATTGACAAAAAAATCGTGATGCCTTTGAAGAGTTGTTGTTTTGCTCACTACACCTATTGTGTTTTTTGATGTTCTTATTACCATCGTAGTTTCATAAGGTCCCTATTGATTCATTTTACTAGTCTCCAATTTAGTTTCGCGATTACGAGACAAGTTGCAGGAGACTTTGTGCTAAGTGAAACGCAACCCCGAGATGAATATGAGTTCAGCAACGTTTATGTTGCGGTAATCATTAGCAAAAAGTATAACTTAGGCCCAATTCAGACGTCGTGCTTCTGCCGTGCCGAATTAATTGTAATTCGGTTCGACGGTAGCACGGCAGGGAAACAACTTTGATTCAGACGTCGTGCCAGAGTAGAACCAAATTCAGGATTTACTGATACCTCGTAACAATTCTCCTCCTAACTCCCCGTGGGAACGCAATCTCGCCAAAATACATTAATTAACAGTTAACGAATGAGGCTGAGCATCTTATGAAGAATTATGGAGATCGAGGAGGGTGTTTATATCCGTCGAGGCCGCAGGCCGAGGCGGATAACACCCTCCGAGATCTCCATAATGCTTCATATGATACGAAAGCCAAAATCAATAACTGTTTTATTACTCATTCAAAATATACCTAGTTTAAAAACATAGCTAAAACATGCTTACCTCCATCGATCCATCGATGTTCAGTTCATCTTCGATAGTTTACGTTTAGGTTTGTCCAGCTCCGCAAATATTCTCCAAATAGCAGATGTCGCCCTTCGAGTTGTCTTCTTGTTGTTCTTGCCATGTTTTTAGCTATTTTTTCCCCTAGTTCTTATTCTTGAAACGAGTGAAATGTCGGCCATTTTTTCAAGTTCACACTAAAACAACTCAACCTCGTCCCCAGGTCTTCTCGGTTAACGGTGCCTTAACCTGCGAAAACGCTGCATTTTTGACGTCATTTACCCGTTAAAGTCAAAATTCTTCCAAATTTGGTCATCAGTAACTGGTTATGGTGAATTAAACGTGTGCTTTTAGCCAGTCAGAATCGGGGAAATATTTTGAATGAATAATAATATAATTTATGAATTTTGCTTAGCGCGGCAGAAGCACGACGTTTGAATCGCTGCCGTGCCAGAGCCGTGTAGCACGGCAGCGCTTGTCGAACTTAATTGCTTGCCGAACTTAATTCAAAAGTTTGATTCAGACGCCGTGCTTCTGCCGAGCTTTTGTCGAACTTAATTCCTGAATTTAGTTCGGCACGCCAGAAGCACGACGTCTGAACTGGGCCTTAGTGTAACGCTTGCTAATGTTCACGTTGTTCGTGATAGGGAATGTAACATTGTGCTCTTCAATTCTTTCTTGCAACTTGCCTCGCAGCAAAACTGGGAAACAAGTTGCAAGAAAACTTGCTTGACGTAACGGCGCTTTAATGCTAAACCATCAAAATGAATTCTTATGTAATGTAAGGGTCAGATTCGACAATGAGTTTCTGGTATTCATTGAGTTACCGATACAGTCAGTGAGGAGTCTTTAATATCGATCTATCATATGTTAATGCCTCTTACCCAAACAATCAGCCCTTTAATTATGGAGTTGAACTTGAGTATCCAGGCTAGCTGAAGTCTCTGAGGCGACTCAGGTGTGCAGTGGCAGTGGCTGGGACTTGGTGACTTTCTTTTGTCCACGATTGTCATTTCTTTTGTTACGTTGTGAATTAGATTTTGCAGGGAACACGGATCTCATACGTAGAGAGACTCTGGTCTTCCTAATTTATTTTTTTAGAGCAAAGTCAAAGACACTCGCGACCGTTGACCTTGTCGCCAACTTTAACGACTTAGGTCACGTCGCTTGTTTGTCAAAGCAAAACGCTAAACTCACGTGGTTACATTCCTGAGCGTTTCGTAGGCTAAGACCAAAAATGGCGTTCTCTGTCAACCAAAAAAGACGAATTTTCGTTCGCGGAAAGTCAATCGATGGAACTCACTTTGGTTGCAGCTTTTTATGGCTTTATAACTCAGAAGCACGAACAACAAAGTAAGTAATTTAGTTTGGCCGCCTCCTTAAACGGTGAGTTGGTTTCTTGTTTTCAGTGCAGAAATTGCTTTTCATACAAAATTTTCGATCCATTTTACTTCAAGAGACACATTTAAGTGTTTTTAGTGTGGTTTTTTCTCAAGATTGACTCTTATTTTTTTCCTATCAAGCCTTTTGAGCTTAGTATTTTGGCGGCAAATGAGAATGAAAGCGCAGAGTCTTTCGACACAAATGTAACGCTATAACTGCTTATTTTTAAGGGGACGACGTTCTCGATTTAGGATAGTATTTGAAAAATTTAAGAGACGAGAAGAACAAAAATTGTTGGAAAACAAAACAGTCTAGGCTTGTAATAAAATCGGCGAAAATTAAGATCTTGAACAAGACGCCATCATGGTCCATTTATTAACTTTTAAAATTTCATTTTGTTCACTTTCAGTTCAGCGATGAAGATCAAAATGATCAAAAGCTCGGGGTTGGCCCCGTGGTGGGCAAATGCCCGACCCCCGGGCCACGCAAAATTTGCTAATGTCGGGACTGACATGGTAGGCAAATGTTCCGCAGCGGCCCGGGGGAGGGGGCTGGGCGCAGCTGGATTTGTCTGATGCATAATCAAGCAAAAAAGAACTTGGCCAATATCCAACCATTTTGACCTCCCGCTTAGTCAATAACGCATGTGTAGGTTAACGTCACCACCGTCATTTAGTATATAAGTGTTTTACCTACAATCCTAGCTGCTGGTCCCGTATACTCACCCGCACCAGGGTTTATTCTGTTCCACAAACAACAAGTTGAAATTTTTAATTTTTGTTTTCAGGGTGTACTGAAAGTACGCAAGCGGGTCACCTTGATGGTCATAACAGTCAGTATCATATTTGGAGTAACCTGGCTTGCAGACACGTTTAACTGGGTCCTCTACTATTATAAGCCTTCCTTCAATCAGTTGACATACGCAGCATCAATCCTATTTTGTATGCTTTGATAAATCAGCGATTCAAAGAGAAAATGCGAGGAATATTAAGTGGCAAGTGTCGTGCAGAACCAGACGGGATGTTTTCTGTTAAAAAACATGAGAAAGTGGAAATAGCCGTTATCTCCTTTCACCAAAGCCAAGTAACGGACGAACGTAGCTGAGGGAGTGATTTCTGATAATTTAATTTATTTATAGAGTTTACCTTAATTAATATGTATTTAAAACGTGACCGTAAAAACAGCAACTGGTTGGTTAATTAGAGGCCACCTTTGAGAGGGAGAAAGGGGCTTGAGTCAGTGTTGGCGGGAAGTGCCGTGTTTGCTGGTAGACCAGGCTGCGGGTCAATAATCAAAAATTCATCAAGAATATGGCATACAAAACAATATGGGACTTTTGTTTACGGTTATCAACTCTACAACATACCATACACGTGTATAAAATTGAACCGGAGAACTTTTGAACCATTGCAAAGCGGAAAGCTAAGTGGGAATAATACTTGCAATATTGAACTAAAAAAACTGTTCATGATCTAAAAAGTCAATTAGATATCAGTTTGGACAATAGTCCTGTAAGGGAGGATAATCCTTAGAAAGAGTTGTCCGATAACAATCTACAAGGATTACAAGCTTTGGCGTCCTTTCACATTGAGTGATTGACACTTTTAGTAATATGTCCTGCTTTGTGTAAGATTAGAGACCTTTAGATTGTAGGACGAGAACGACTACGAGTACGAGATTTAATTTAAAGTTTTTTCTCGTTTGCTCAAATAATAGACACCCCGGAAAGCTTTATTGTACATCTTTTTCACTAAAAAAATTAGCAAGCTATCTCCCACCCGCAAAATATTAACACCTATAACACTTAATAACTTGCGTCCGCAAAAAGGGACATTCTCGCTAAAACTCGTAGTAAAATGACGACGACTATCATGTTTTCCTGCCAAAATGACGCTGGTTCACGCGCTCGCAGTACTTAGTATTGAGAAAATCTCGTACTCGCACTCGTCTTAGAATCTAAACGTCCTTATTAATGTTGTTACTGAGAAGAAAGAAACTGATATTGAGAGTACTACTTCCTGACGGGAACAATGAAAACGTTAAAATAGCCATCCTCGCCCTTCCAATTCAACCAAGTCAATAATAAGAATATTGCACCAGATATCTGATAATTGAAGCGTCTATGGGTGAATTATTGCGTGTATGTTGTCTATGTTGTCATTGTACTGTTTTGCACCCATGTATACTGTGTCCATGCTGTGTCTAATATTAAAAAACTAAAACCCTTCAATTCGGTTATACCAGTCGTAACATAAAGATAGAACCTGGCGCAACGTCACAGTGCCCACAAATGACGTTATTGGTGTTAATGCATTCCACAAAAAGTTAATTC